TGGTCAGGTGTAGTAAGTCTTCGTTTCTGATGATGTTAGGCCAGAAAATACGAACAATTCTTCGTAGACATTTATTAACAAAGACCTGCAGTTTGTCTGTAAGGGTTTTTGTCGCTTTCCAGGTTTCACATCCGTAAAGTAGTACAGACATGACATTTGACTGGAATATGCGGATCTTTGTCCTCGTAGTGTATTCTCCAGACCTCCAAACAGGGTTGAGCATGCTGAAAGCTTGTTGCGCTTTTCGTATCCTCATACGAATATCGTCTTCTGTACCTCCGCTTTCTGTTATGACACTTCCAAGATACGTAAAGTTTTCCACATTTTCAATCTGCATGTTATTAATGGTGAATAGCGTGTTGTTTCTTGCATTTATTCTCATGGATTTGGTTTTACCAATATTGATTTTCAAACCTATTTTATTGGCTTCAGTGGAAAGTGTTTCCAATTGGTCAGCCACATCTTGGAACCTTTGTCCTAACAGGCAGATATCGTCGGCGTATTCTAGATCGCTTAGGCGTGTGGTTAGCGTCCATTGTATCCCTCTTGTGTCAGAGTCTAGTTTGGAGAGAACATAGTCTAGAGCTATGTTAAAAAGAAACGGAGAAAGCACGCATCCCTGTCTGACTCCAGTAAGTACGTCAAATTCGTCACTGTTGATCCCATTGTGTGTCACGCTGCATTTCGCTTCAGTGTACAGTAACTTTATAATGGAAATTATTTTATGCGGGATGTTTCTTAGCTCTAAAATTTTCCATGAGATATTTCCATCATGAGATAAGCTGTCAAAAGCACGCTCGAAATCAACAAAAACCATGTATAGGGGTGTGTTCCATTCAACCGATTGTTCCATTATTAGCCTCACAGTATTAATGTGGTCTATGCAGGAGGATTCTGGTCTAAAGCCTACTTGATTAGCTCGAAATTCAACCTTGTTTGTTAATCTTTTAAGTATGATGGTCGTGAAGATTTTATTTATGGCGTTAAGCAAGGTTATTCCTCTCCAATTTTTGCATAGTGTGAGGTTGCCCTTTTTTGGAAGCTTAGTAATGATGCCTTTTTTCCAGCTCGCTGGAATGCGGTTTGTTTCCCACACCTCTCGGATTATGGGGAGCAAAAGTTCAGCAGTTAGATGCGGATCAGTTTTAAGCATTTCGGCAGCAATGTTATCGATTCCCGGAGACTTGTTATTTTTCAGAGATTTGATAGCTGTTATTATCTCTGTTTTGGAAGGGGCGTCGCAAGATATACGCAAGTCTATATTCTGTGGATTTTCGACAATTTCATCTGCGTTATCCCTGGGCGTGCCTAGCATCTCCTGAAAATGCTCTTTCCATCTCCCTATTTGGTCATTTGTTGTAGTAAGTAGTTCTCCTGTCTTGGATCTTACGACGTTTGAACAGTTGGGCCCACTTTTTGTTAGACGTCTGGTAATTTGGTATAGCTCTCTAGTTCTATTGTGTTGTGCAGCTATTTCGGCTTGTTTTGCCAGTTCTTCAGTCCATCTTCTTTTGTCTCTTCTTGCATTTCTTTTAACTGCTTTATTTATTCTTTCATATTCTTGTTGTCGGTTCGCTCTTTCGTCTACAGTTCTTGCTTGCAGACTATCTTTTTTTTGCTGTTTTCTTTCTTCGATAAGATTCCAAGTTTCATCTGATATCCATTCTTTTCTATGTTTCTCTTTTTTACCGAGTTTATCTTCAGCTATTTCTGTCAAAACATTTGCTAGATCTTCCCAGCTATTTACTTCACGTTCTCTTCTTTTGAGTTGAAGTTCCTCCCTAAACATGTGTCTTCCTGTAGCCGTTTTTAATTTGTCTAGATTGTATGTTGGTCGTTTGGTGTTTCGTGTGATTTTGTTTTTTGCCATTTTGATTTTAATGGTACCGATTACAAGATGATGGTCACTTGCGATGTCTGCTCCTCTTTTGTTACGTAACTTTGGGCAATTAACTTTTCATTACCATTAATCGATTTTAAGAGTTTACAAATTGGTAACATCAGTTGTTTCATCTAAAATAATTGCAATGAAGCGTGTTTGTTTAATTTCATCAATTATTTTGTTTGAAACTACTGTCAAAATAGCAAAAATCAAATCATTCTGAATTCGATTTGAGGTGCCTTGCTTGAAACACACTGGACTGTTCTAAATGAGTTTTTAAGGGGACAGTCTCATGCGATTAAAAAAAAGAGACACATTTTAAAATTAAAGCAGAAAAAAAACTATAATATTTATTAACATAATTCCTTTTGGAGATGATTAAGTAAGTCTTGAAGTACATAAAAAAAATTTTAATAGCGATTTTAACTTCATTGGTGTCCTGTAGATGGCGTGTAGTAAAAAGTGCGTTTTTGGTGGTAAGACACTTTGTGGGTCACCTGTAACAGATATTCAAAAAATTCAAAATGGGTTGTATTCGTGAGACTCAAAACTAGATGATAAACCTTTAAAATATGCAAATTGTATTATTTTGAAGAGTTTATACGAGATTTTTCAAAAAAGTCGAAAAATCGCTATGTTTTTGGGTGGATTTACCCATATATAATAAAAGGAGGGGTGGTTTTTAAATATTTTAAAGGTTTATCATCTAGTCTTTTGTATATACATTCGAAAAATTTTTGGTTTTTTAAAATCGGTTAAGAAGGTTCGGAGAAAAGTGTCTGACCAGTTTGAAAATGTTACTTTTGAGAAAAAAGCATTTAAAGTTTTTTTTACATAATTTTCGTGAATTAAAGGCTGATAACTTTATACTCACGTTTAATCGGCCATTCCTGGTGAATATTGAGGTCCCTCTTCATCCAACAGTTGTTGTAAATGGCTTTGTAAAGCTTTTTTCTTTTTGATTTGATGTTTTATAATTATTTCATTAGTTCGACTTGACTCTCAATTCACGCCGCGATGCTGACAGTGTAAGTGTAAAAACGGAACACACCTAGATCGCATGTCAATTTAACGAAAACGTATCTACTTATTTATAAATGTAGATATGAAAATATTTTATAACTAAAAAAATGGTTATGTTTTATTGCCAAAACGGCGTGAAAAAAAGTTGATTTCTAAAATTAAAAATAAAAAGGAATTTTAAAAATAAAATAATTATATTACACTCTTTTTAATTTGAAATTATAAACAATATTTGGAATAATAAATGTATTTAGGTATAAATTTTATAACTTAAATAATACCTAATGAACACAAACATAATTGATGTTAATAAAACATTTTTTTATTATCTGCACAAAACCGGGCTTTCAGGAAAAATCGGTAGACGGAGCAACACTGTCGGCGTGCCATATACGCTACTACAAACCGCTGAGGAGAAGTAATAGTAATCCAGTGGAACAAATAAATTAGTTATAAAACATCGCGACGTTATAAAGAAATTTACACTGGTTAATTGCAACGCAGAGAATCTTAGTATTTGTAAAAAATCCTATGTTCCGGATTTTAAATTCCAAATGTGTATAGTAACTGCCAAACGTTATATATACTATATAAAAATAAATCACTAATACGTACCCAACGTATATACAACATATATACAAACGCAAGAACAGCTGGAGCCTCGCGCTCGCCGCGCGGAGAGAAACCGGTTTTCATACGTGTGTATCTGACGTTAATAAAATAACTATAACTTATATTCTAGTGGGAATTTCTTTTTAAAATTTTAGGAGGGAGTTTTTGAATGTAAATGGAAGCGATTTATGTAAAAAAAATTTTTTGATTTTTTGAAAGTTTCGCATGAGACTGTCCCCTTAAACACGGATCGTACTCAGAAATTAGTGAAACAAGATCCATGTAATTGCCCCTATTTGCTGATGTACTGGTTTCGTCGTGACCTCTGAACCCAAGTTCATGGAAACATAAAAAACACACAGCGTCAATAAGTCTTTTCAGCACGTCTCTATTTTTAACAACTAATTTATTATGTTTTTGATGACTCACTTTTAATGAATTATCCAAAGTGTGTTCTATTCTATTTTTTTTCCAAAAACTTTCTCTTTGATGACGGCCTGCAAGTGAGGTTTAGACAAGACATGTCGTTTCACTACCTTATGAAAATTGTTTAAATCGCCAAAACCACTATGATTCCAAACAGCATTTTCATTCACAAAGAGCAAACAACACCAACAAAAGAGTTTATTCCTAAATTCACAACCAGTTAGCCACTCATATTGTTCGTAAGATTTTTCCGAATTAAAATGTAGGACGCAAGTTTTTATTTTGGTAGTGAGATTTTTCATTTCAGTCTTAGCTTCTTTTACAAAACAAAATAAAAGATAAGAACAGTTGATTTAAAAATATTAAAACCATTGATCGAAGAAAGCTGTAATACTATCGTTTTCCCAATTCGTGTCATGTAAATATAATATACATGATTTACCTTTATTAATTATGTTCCATTTTTCACCAAAATTCAACGAACTAAAGCGTTTCTCTAATAACAAACATACTACACATTACACACTACATCTGATTCCACAAAATCAGTCGGCGAAGACGCCATTGATAAACTTAAGATTTAAATTCGCCAAAACTTCGTAATCAATTGCCACAGTTGCTTATAAATCGACAAATACGGTCAACTTAACCTTCGCTTCTCAGTGCATAACCCGGGTTATTTTTACATAAGGCATGAAAAGCAACTCTGAACGTGGATTATCCCGAAATAACTCTCCGACTTCCAACGTAAAATTACGAACAGGAAAGCTAAAGATATGCGCAGGGTCGGAACGAGCTCGCTGCTCGTTCTACATAATTCTCATATGCAGCTTAAAAGGCTGCTTATATGTGTGTGTTGGTTTAAATTATTTTTTGTTAAATATTCTCAGTTACTCAGCTAGTATGCTATTACCACGGAAAGCTAGGGAAGCAGTGCTTCCCTTTCTTTCATACACCGTACGCCCCTGAACCGAATAATTATTTAAGAAATGTAGTTATATCATCTTGTCTATCTATGTGAATTCATGAAAATTTACAAATTTATTTTTTGTTTCAGGTGCTATGAAGATGAAATTAAAAATACTTTTGGCGATATGTCTAGTCATAAACTACGTAAAAGCACAACAAGTTAATGTACCAGAAAACCCGTATACTCAATATGACGCAAATGGAGTATCATCGACGACGAGTAGATACGGAGATTTGAATCCTTATAGTCAGGATCCGGATAATCCGTACAATCAAAATAATCCCCAAGATTCCCTTGATCCGTATGGAAACAGAGATCCGTATGGAGATGGAAATAGGGGACAAGGCAGTACTTTCAATAGAGGACGAAACGATTTTAACAACAGAGGAAATGAATACGCACCCTATGGTCCTAATCAGTATGGAAATACTGCCGGTGGAAATTATAACGATTTCTTCGAAAGTGATCGACGACCTTTTAATGCTCATACAACTATAATCAGAGAGGCGTAAGTTTCAAATTTTATTTTATTTAAATGCGTTATTTATCCTTAACTAAGATCATGGGTTTTGATTTTTGAGTTTTTGTATTTCATTTTCAAAATGGTTTCGAAAATTTATCTTTATAGATAAAAATCTCGTGTCACAATGTTTGTTCACGCTAATATCCGACACCACTGAACTGATTCCAATAAAATTTTGTGAAAATGTATTGTTTGATCCAACTTGAGTTGTAACGATTATTTTGCCTACCACATAAGGGGTTGAAAATTTAGGACAGAAATTATGGGGCTAGAGATAGGGTAAGCAAAACAAATCTAAACTTTTGCGAACGGCTACTGAGGGTTAATTTGGAGAACTGGGTCGTGGATAAGTGAATAAAGAGGGGACTGAAATGGGGTAACTACCAAAAATGAAACAAAGAGGTACTTACATGAGTTTCCTGGACAAACAAAACACAAGAAGTTTCTCAAGCAAGGTTAGGAACTGAACTTACACTTCAAACACAAACAAATACACTCCAAACTGGGAAAATATTCTGAAACGGCTTACGCCGGCTCCACGCATACGGGCCAATGGCCTCAACAACGTTCGTTCAATGTGTGTACCGACAAAACTGTGTTAGAGCCTTTTATCTTGCTCCAACGTTAGGAGTTTTCCGTGGAGTGTCGGTTTTTGCGTACACATCAAAGGGATTCGAGCTAATATTGTTGTTGTGGTTGATGCCTCAACCCAATGTGTGGATGCCTCACCGAACGTGGGAACACAGTTGACCCAACGTTGGCGCCAATGTTGAATTCCATGTGTGGAGCCAGCCTTAGGACAAACAAAATGAGGCTGGAAGCTGTTCACTCGGCTTCTTAAAAACTGGAATACAACTGGACACAATGGCAACATGTGGTTATCCTTAAAAGTTGTTGTAAACGCCACAAATCTCTTAGATACTTAGAAACATAGAAACAGTGATTAATATTTCAAAACTGACACATTACATTGAGTATAAATTACTTTTTCAGAACAAATTTGCCGGTTCTTAACGCCGACACTCGCTTGTATCTTTTCTATTCAAAGATTCTCCCAAACATCACTTCTAACTGTAACTACACATTTAACTGCTACATACTACCAAACTTTTCGAATTAGATGAAAATTCCGACCAACACTTAAAACAACTGCCTCTGACAGCGGCTCCACTGAGAGTGATGTCGTTATCTTCAAAAATCATTCGCTCAACTCGGTATAAACAAAACATATAAATGGGAATATTTCTTTAACGCGCAATATTAAGCGGCTTAACGATCAAAGAAAATATTAAGGAAATACGCATCTGTGGTATATAAACAAACTTTATAATGTGTTTATTATCGACTCCAACGATGCAAAATGATTGAAAATAACTTTTCGGTGTTTTAATACATACGGGGTGATTTCAATACATACGAAAGAATATAAAAGATGCTGCAAAGTCATCGGATAGTTT